TTATTTTGGTTATGCTTGTCATAGAAACTGTCAGTAGTTTCTATAAAGTCAAAAGGCTTGGTATTGCAGGTTATTGCAAAATAAACAAATATTAGGTGGTGGTGTGTAGTTAATACTTATAGCTTAAGTTTTGTTGTTGATTTAAAAACATCATAAAAGTATATACTTAAAGTTCTTGATAATTAAAAATATATATTATGTTTTTGAATATTTTAGAGAGACTTTGTAAGGTCATTTTTAAGTTGCATTTATGAGGCTTGTAATTATTTTCAGTCTGTCATATCGCCCTCCAGTGGCACAGCTGTATGTCTGCGGACTTACAACGCTAGAAACTGGCTTTTGATACCCGTGGTGGGCAGAGCACAGATAGCCCATTGTGTAGCTTTGTGCTTAACTTCAAACAAAAAAAACTGTCATGTCATTTGTTCCAATGTTTTTCATTTGGCTAAATATTTTAGTGAATTTCTGGAGAATGATAGAAATCCATGTATACTGCATGTACTGTTTCGTATTAGTGAGTAAGTTTTTTCTGAAGTATTTTCAGAAATTTATATGGACATGGTTTCTTTAAAATTTATAATATAACAAAAATTAAGTGTGTACAAAATATTTTGACAAATAGAGCCTTAGAGTTCTTGTAGTTACTATTTTGATAAAACTTGGTCAAGAATGACAGTTAAGTTGGGATTCAAGAACGTTTACTCAATATTCCTTATTTCTAGACATTTTCTGATTCAAATAACACCTGAAGTATAAAAGTCGGTTCCAGAATGACCTCGTCGTCTCCTTCAGAATCAAAACACATACCCACTCGCAGGTATGGCATTTCTGCGTGGGTTGGACAGAGATTTGAAAAACTCGTTAGTAATTCAAATCTAGAAGAGTTGGGAACATCACCACGGGGCGAGGATTTCCTTCAAAACTTTAACAAACAACAGTTTGTTGCTACTGATGCAGGAATGGAAGGTATATTATACTTATTGTTCTCCAGCTTATACCAGCCTTCTTGTTATTTACTTTTCCTTGCATGATATGTACTACAACACTCTACACCTTTTAAAGTAGGCTTAAGTAAACAATTTTTTTTCTTTCCATGATATTTTATTAAAAAATTAAATTAAGTAATACTTGCAGTTTAAGTTTAATCAGCTTATAAGTAAAAAATTTATCATGATTGTGATGTCTAGGTTAAAAACTTTTTACACACAGTCCTGAACATGTAGATTTTTACTTAACACATATAGAGCCTGAGAAATTGATTAAGTTTTGGACTGTTTTCAGAAATCCTGTCATACAAAATGCTTAATTTTTACGAATTAATAAAATCAGTAGATGGTTCATTTATTTTATTTTCATGCTGAGGGTCACATTTGATAGTAGTTAATAACAATGTACAAGAAAATTTGTGTGAAAGTAAAGGAATTGATTATCAAACTGTTATTCTTAATTAATGAAAGAAAAAACTTGGGTACTGATACAGGATTCAGAATTGAATTCAACAATATTCAAATAGGAATAATATGTTTGTTTTTTGTAGACTAACTGAATTATATAACATAATGTTTTGGGACAACATGGGACCTATTGGTCCATCTTGGCTGTTTCATCTTCTAAACAAAATTAAAATAATTAAAAAACAAAATCTTAAAGCCAGCCCTTATCATTCATATTCTTATCAAGGTTTTTCTTAAACTCACTTAAATTTACTGTCTCTACAAGATCTGAAGGCAACTCATTCCAAAGGCCAACCACCCTCTTAGAAAAATGAAACTACCTTAGTTGAAGATGACTTCTACCTTGCCAAAATTTAGTCCTACTATTCTCACTGTTAAATATGAAAAAATATGATTCATCAACACTATCAATTCCCTTTACAATCTTAAACACCTCAATCAGACCCCCCCCCAAAGTCTTCTTTTTTTTCAAGAGAAAACAATTTGAGAGATTTCAGCCTCTCATCGTATAACAACCCCTCCATCCCAGACACCATTCTAGTAACCCTTCTCTGAACTCTTTCCAACAATTCAGTGTCTTTTCTATAATAAGGAGCCCAAGACTGAACACAATATTCCAAATTTGGCCTAACCAGTGACCTATACAATGAAATTATACCCTCTTTAAACTTGTATTCAATATTTCTGTAGATACGACCTAATATCCCATTTGCCCTACCACTAGCAACAGCATACTTCTTGGATGGCTTTAGAGACTGATCAACTATTACACCAAGATCCGTTT